GAAGGTAAAAGTGAATCAGAGGAGAAGGTAAATGTGAAAGGAAGGGGAACAAGGGGAAGGGGAAGGGCAGGGATAAGGGAATGGGAAGGGAAGGGGAAATAATGGGGAAGGGGAGGGGAATGAAAGGGAAGGGGAAGGTAAGGGGAGAGAAAGGTGAAGGTAAGGTAAAGGGAAAGTGAAGGGAAGGCGAAGGGAAAGGAAAGGTGAAGGTGAAGGAAAGGGGAAGGGAAGGGGAAGGGAAAGTGCTGGAAAGGGAAAGGTTAAGGTGAAGGGAAGGGGAAGGAAAAGCAAAGAGAAAAGGAAGGGAAGGGGAAGGAGAAGGAAGGGAAAAGGGAAGGTGACAGTGAAGGAAACGGGAAGGGGAAGAAGGGAAGGGGAAGGTAAAGAGGAAGGGGAAGGGGAAGGGGTAAGTAAAGGAGAGGGGTGGGGGAGGGGAAGGAGGGGTGGGGGAGGGGAAGGAGGGGTGGGGGAGGGGAAGAAGGGGAAGGGGAGGGGAAGGGGTATCAGAAGGGGAGGGGTGGAGAAGGGGAAGGGGTATGGGAAGTGGAGGGATGAGAAAGGGAAGGTGAAGGGAAGGGGAAGGGGAAAGGGAAACAAAGGGGAAGGGGAAGGGAAGGGGAAGATGAAAATGAAAAGGGAAAGGGAAGAAGGAGGAAAAGATGAAGGGGAAGGAGAACAGGAAGGATCGGGAAGGGGAGAAGAATGGGAGGGGAAGGGGAAGGAAAGAGAAGAGGAAGAGAAAGGTGAAGGAAAGGGGAAGGTGAAAGGAAGGAAAAGGGGATGTGAAGGGGAAGTGAAGGGGAAGCAGAAGGGGAAGGTGAAGGAAAAGGTGAAGTTGAAGGAAAGGGGAATAAGAAGGGGAAGGGGAAGGAAAGGGGAAGGTAAAGGGGAAGGGAAGGAGAAGGGGAAGGTGAGGGGAAGGGAAAGGGAAGAGAAGGGAAAGGGAAGGGGAAGGGAAGGTGAGGGGAAGGGGAAGGTGAAGGTGAGGGGAAGGGAAAGGGAAAGGGGGAAGGGAAAGGAGAAGGTAAAAGTGAATCAGAGGAGAAGGTAAATGTGAAAGGAAGGGGAACAAGGGGAAGGGGAAGGGCAGGGATAAGGGAATGGGAAGGGAAGGGGAAATAATGGGGAAGGGGAGGGGAATGAAAGGGAAGGGGAAGGTAAGGGGAGAGAAAGGGGAAGGTAAGGTAAAGGGAAAGTGAAGGGAAGGCGAAGGGAAAGGAAAGGTGAAGGTGAAGGAAAGGGGAAGGGAAGGGGAAGGGAAAGTGCTGGAAAGGGAAAGGTTAAGGTGAAGGGAAGGGGAAGGAAAAGCAAAGAGAAAAGGAAGGGAAGGGGAAGGAGAAGGAAGGGAAAAGGGAAGGTGACAGTGAAGGAAACGGGAAGGGGAAGAAGGGAAGGGGAAGGTAAAGAGGAAGGGGAAGGGGAAGGGGTAAGTAAAGGAGAGGGGTGGGGGAGGGGAAGGAGGGGTGGGGGAGGGGAAGGAGGGGTGGGGGAGGGGAAGAAGGGGAAGGGGAGGGGAAGGGGTATCAGAAGGGGAGGGGTGGAGAAGGGGAAGGGGTATGGGAAGTGGAGGGATGGGGGAGGGGAAGGAGAAAGAAAGGGGTATGGGAAGGGGTATCGGAAGGGAAGAGGAAGGGGTATGGGAAGGGGAGGGGTGGGGGAGGGGAAGGTGAAGAGAAAGAAAGAGGAAGGGGAGGGAAAATGGAGGGGAAGGGGAGAGGTGAAGGAGAAGAGAAGGGGAGGGGAGGGGAAGGGAAGGGAAGGGGAAGGAGAGGGAAAGAAGTGAAGGAGAAGGGGTAAGTGGAAAGGGGAGGGGAGGAGAAGGAGAGAAGGGGAGAAGGGAAGGGGAAAGGAAAGGGGAGGTGAAGGAAAGGGGAAGGAACAGGGGAAGGGAAGAAGAATGGAAAGGGGAGGGGAAAGGGAAAGGGGGGAAGAGGAGAGGAAGGAGGAGGGGAAAGGGAAGGAGCAGGGGAAGGAAAGGGAAGTAGAAGGGAAGGGGAGGGAAAGAGGAAAGCGAGGGGGAGAGGGGAGAGGGACAGGGAGGGGGATGGAGACGGAGGGGGAGGGGAGACAGAGATGGGGGGAAAGACAGAGATGGAGGGGAGACGGAGACTTGGTGAGAGACGGAGATGGGGACGGAGACCGACACTGACACCGACACCAAGAACGAGGGGGAGACCGAGACCGAGGCCAAGATGGAGGGGGAGATCGAGACCGAGGCCGAGACGGAGGGGGAGACCGAGACCGAGGCCGAGACGGAGGGGGAGAACGAGACCGAGGCCGAGACGGAGGGGGAGACCGAGACCGAGGCCGAGACGGAGGGGGAGACCGAGACCGAGGCCGAGACGGAGGGGGAGACCGAGACCGAGACAGAGGGGGAGACTGAGACTGAGATGGAAGGGGAGACCGAGACCGAGGCCGAGACGGAGGGGAGACCGAGACCGAGACCGAGGCAGAGACGGAGGGGGAGACCAAGACCGAAACCGAGACCAAGGCCGAGATGGAGGGGAGACTGAGACCAAGGCCAAGACGGAGGGGAGACCGAGACCGAGACCGAGACCGAGGCAGAGACGGAGGGGGAGACCAAGACCGAAACCGAGACCAAGGCCGAGACGGAGGGGAGACCGAGACCGAGACGGAGGGGGAGACCGAGACCGAGCGAGACCGAGGGGGAGACCGAGACCAAGACTGAGATGGAGAGGGAGACCAAGACAGAGACGGAGATTGAGTCAGAGGCAGAGACCAAGACTGAGGGGGAGACCGAGACGGAGGGGGAGACCGAGACGGAGGGGGAGACCGAGACGGAGGGGGAGACCGAATCGGAGGGGGAGACCGAGACGGAGGGGGAGACCGAGACGGAGGGGGAGACCGAGACGGAGGGGGAGACCGAGACGGAGGGGGAGACCGAGATGGAGGGGGAGACCGAGACGGAGGGGGAGACCGAGACGGAGGGGGAGACCGAGACCAAGACGGAGGGGGAGACCGAGACGTAGAACGAGACCGAGAAGGAGGGGGAGACCGAGACGGAGATGGAGACGGAGTCAGAGGCGGAGACCGAGACGGAGATGGAGACGGAGTCAGAGGCGGAGACCGAGACGGAAGGGGAGACCGAGACCGAGACCTAGACGGAGGGGGAGACCGAGACTGAGACCGAGCGAGACGGAGGGGGAGACCGAGACCGAGACGGAGGGGGAGACTGAGACCAAGACCAAGACAGAGGGGGATACTGAGACCGAGACCTAGACGGAGGGGAAGACCGAGACCTAGACGGAGGGGAAGACCGAGACCGAGACGGAGGGGGAGACCGAGACCGAGACGGAGGCGGAGACCGAGACCGAGGCCAAGACGGAGGGGGAGACCGAGGCCGAGACCCAGACCGAGACAGAGGGGGAGACCGAGACCGAGACCGAGACGGAGGGGGAGACCGAGAGCGAGACCGAGACGGAGGGGGAGACCGAGACCGAGACCTAGACGAGGAGAAGACCGAGACCAAGAAGGACGGGGAGACCAAGACGGAGGGAGGGGGGCAACTGGAGGAGTGGGGAGGAGACCAGGGGAGGTGGTGGCGGCAGCAGAGACTGAGACGAAAGGAAAGCGATCTGCCTGCCTCAGCCCCCAAAATGCTGGGATTACAGGTGTCAACCACCACACCTGGCCCTTATGAGGAAATTTTAAAACGTGCACTTGCACCAAGTTCTTAGTTCCAGTGCCTCTGATTCGTAGGTCAGGAGAGGGTAGGTTCTTAGGCAGTTTAGTATGGCTTTATAACTTGTACTTTTATTTGTGCACATAATCATCTTATGAATCCCACCCCCCTCTCCCCTTCTTTCCCCTTCCCTTTCCTTCCTGGGAGGCAGAGGTTGTAGTGTGCAGAAATTGCGCCATTACACTCCAACCTGGGTAACAGAAAGAAAATACCGTAAATAAAAGAAAATAAATAAATAATAAAATTTTCTCATGCAATTCTATGCTTAGCCAACACTGAAAGCCATGAATATAGTTAACAACACAGCTGACTAAATGTCTTGTTTCAGGTTATCACATATCCATGAGACAACTGTTAATATAAGCCACAGAACATATATCCTCGTTTGAAAATTACTGGTCACAATTGAAGTTGGTGGCACCAGCACAATTCAAAATGAAGAACACTGTGCTCCAGGAGTCAGAGGCCTGGCACTGACCTCACTACGGCTACTTACTGTGCCACACCAGACAAGTCAGCTTGCTGAATATTTGTTTCATTTATAAGAATGAGAAAATAATATTTGTTCTGCTTTCCTCTTAAGATTATTATCTATATAAATGAAAGTTATAAAGCCATATTAAACTACAGGAGAGACACTACAGTTCGTCAGAATTAGTTCATTCCTTGGAATTACTGCAAATGATAGAGACAGATCCAAATGCTGATTTTCAGAATCAAAACCAAGACCTCTCCTGTATTCAACTACCCAACTAACTAAAAACCACCTGTCTTTTGGTTAGATGAGAAAAGAGGAGGGCAGTTCTGCCTGTGTTACTAAAAACAGAGGCTTTTCTTTTCTATTTTCTGCCTTCAACTCTCTCCAACAGCTCTTTCCAAGCTCAGCTCTTACCACAGCAAGAAAAAAACAAAAGTCAAGTAACTCAATTTCTTTTCTTTCTTTTTTTTTGAGACAGAGTTTGGCTATGTTGCCCAGGCAGGAGGGCAATGCTGTGATCTCAACTCACTGCAACCTCCACCTCCCAGATTCAGGCGATTCTCCTGCCTCAGCCTACTCGGTAGCTGTGACTATAGATGCACGCCACCGTATCTGACTAATTTTGTGTTTTTAGTAGAGATGGGCTTTCACCATGTTGGCCAGGCTGATCTCAAACTCCTAACCTCAGGTGATTCACCTGCCTTGGCCTCCCAAAGTGTTGGGATTACAGAAGTGAGCCGCTGCACCCCGCCAAATAACTCAATTTCTAGGGAGCTAGTCCATTTTCCTCCTTAAAAAAAAAAAAGAGGAAATGCAAACCTCAGCCACAGTGCTGCGAATGCGATCCACCACCTGTTCAAAGTCCACCAAGCTGAAGAGTGGCTGCTGCTTGAGACGGTGCAGCTCTGCAGCAAAAGTGTCCTCCTGGTTTTTCAAAATGGATCCTGCAAAATAGGAAGGCACCGTCAAAAGAAGACAGAGAGCACCCAGGACAGACAGGGTTTCCTGGAGAGGGCTAATCTTGGTGGGGCAGCAACTTCACCTGCTTCTTAGACAAACATGATTCTGCTACAATCTCAGGACAGGAATATTACCAGCCACTTTCTATGACCAGGCATACTGTGGGGCCACATAGTATTAAGGCAGAAGAACGTTTGAGGATGGGGTACATTGGACAAGGAGCTTTTTACCTTTTCTAGTCAAGTTCACATTTTGATTCTCAAACATCTGGACAGATTCTCCAACAAACAGGATTTTTTCGGCAACCCTCACTGGAATGTAGGATGGTAAAATCTCCACTCGCAGGGAAAACTGCTTCAGAGATGGTGCCAGCATGTTCTCTTCCTCTATGAGGCGCTAGTCAAGGAAAGAGTGCACACTGAGATGCAGTATGAGAAAGAGAAAAAAAAAAAAAAAAAAGAAAATATCTAGGAACTCTCCCAACCCATCATTTAAAGTAAAGATGCAGGGACTTAAAATCTGGTGTTCCATAGTTCTCAAATGACCAGTTTTGGAGAGATATATTTCCTCTTCAGGCAGCAGAGTGGCATAGTGGAAATAAGAGTGGCTTTTTAAATACTGGGATTTGGGCCCTCACTCTACCTTTACTATTGCATAAAAACTTGCACAGTCGAGGATCCAAGATGGCTGACCAGGAACAGCTCAGGATTGCAGCTCCCAGTGAAAGTAGACAGGGTGAGTGGATGCCACATTTCCAGACGGATTTTTATTGCCCACAGACCAGGAGATTCCCGGGCAGAGGAGCCCCATGGGTTGCCAGCGCGGCTGCTTTGCCAGCGCCCTGGCACGGCGGTTCTCCATACAAAATACACTGGTCCAGGTGCCCTTTTAGCTGGCGATTGAGGCCCCGGGAAGGCAGATCACCCATTCATCTGATTTAAAAGGGGACTGAAACAGGGAGCCAGGCCAGGAGATTCCCGGGCAAAAAAAACCTCCATGAATCTCAGCGCCGCTCTTTCAGCTGGCACAGTGAGTTGCCTCACGGGAAATCACACAGATCCTGGCACCTTTTCAACAGGCGACTGGAACACCTGGGAGAGAGTCAACTGTTCAACTAAAAAAAAAAAGACTGAGTCAGGGAGCCAGGCGATCACGCTTGGCTGGTCCCACTCACCCCGCACCGCCCCCGCCAAAAAAAAAAAAAAAAAAAATGCAATCGAAAAGGCTCTGGGTTGAGAGTTTCACAGCAAGCACAGCTGAACCCGGGACGGTCCAGCTCTGTGAGGGAGGGGCGTCCGCTATTACCGAGACACTCGACCACTACGGAGGTAGTCTGCGGTTGCCGAGGCAACCTGCCATTACAGAGACAGTCCGCCATTACAGAGGTGGGCCACCATTGCTGAGGCAGTTCTAACTACACCCATGTAAACAGGACTGCAGGGAAGATAACATGGCAGCTGGGCAGAGCCCACAGCAGCTTAGCAAAGCCTCTGCAGGCAGACAGTGACTAGGCTGCCTCCTTGCTGGGCAGGGCAGCCCTGAAAAAAAAAAAAAAAGGCAGCAACACAACGGAAACTCATAAAGCCCTAACTCCCTGGGACAGAGCACCTCGGGGAAAAAGAAAGGAGTTTATGAGTTCTGCTGCAGTAGACCTAAAACGTACCTGCCCAGCAACTCTGAATGAACAACGGCGCTCACAGCTCAGCACTTGAGTTCCTATAAAGGACAGCCTGTCTCCTCAAGCAGCTCCCTGACCCCCGAATAGCCAAAGAGTCACCTCATAAAGCAGAGAACAGACTGACATTTGGCAGGTATCCTTCTGGGACAAAGATAGCAGAAGAAACTGGTAGCAACCCTTACTGTTCTGCAGCTGCTGCAGGTGATCCCCAGGCAAGAAGGGCCTGGAGTGGACCTCAGCAGTCCTACAACAGAAGGGCCAGACTGTTAGAAGGAAAACTAAGAAACAGAAATAACTTCATCATCCACAAACTGGAAGTTCACTCAGAGACCCAATCTGAAAGTCACCAACTACAAGGACAACACGTGGATAAATCCACAAAGATGGGAAGAAACCAGCGCAAAAAGGATGAAAACACCCGAAACCAGAACACCTCTCCTCCTAAAAGGGATCACAACTCCTCAGCAGCAAGGGAACAAGGCTGGATGGAGAATGAGTGTGATGAAATGACAGAATCAGACTTCAGAAAGTGGGTAATAACAAACTTCTGTGAGCTAAAAGAACATGTTCTAACCCAATGCAAAGAAACTAAGAACAGTGAGAAAAGATTTGACGAAATGATAACGAGAATGGACAACTTAGAGAGGAATATAAGTGAATTGATGCAGCTGAAAAACACAACACGAGAACTTCGCGAAGCATTCACAAGTTTCAACAGCCGAATTGACCAAGCAGAAGAAAGGATATCAGAGGACGAACATCAACTCAATGAAATAAAACAAGGCGGCAAGATTAGAGAAAAAAGTGTAAAAAGGAATGAACAAACTCTCCAAGAAATATGGGACTATGTGAAAAGACCTAATCTACATTTGATAGGTGTAACTGAAAGTGAAAAAGAGAATGAATCCAAGCTGGAAAATACTGTTCAGGATATTAACCAGGAAAACTTCCCCAACCTAGCAAGGCAGGCCAATATTCAAGTCCAGGAAATACAGAGAACACCACAAAGATATTCCTCAAGAAGAACAACCCCAAGGCACATAATTGTCAGATTCACCAGGGTTGAAATGAAGGAGAAAATGCTAAGGGCAGCCAGAGAGAAAGGCCGGGTTACCCACAAAGGGAAGCCCATCAGACTCACAGCAGATCTCTCAGCAGAAACCCTACAAGCCAGAAGACAGTGGGGGCCAATATTTAACATCCTTAAAGAAAAGAACTTTCAACCCAGAATTTCATATCCAGCCAAACTAAGCTTTATAAGTGAAGGAAAAATAAAATCCTTTGCAAACAAGCAAGTACTCAGAGATTACATCACGACCAGGCCTGCTTTACAAGAGCTCCTGAAAGAGGCTCTACACATAGAAAGGAACAACCAGCCACTCCAAAAACATACCAAATGATAAAGAGCATCAGCACAATGAAGAATCTGCATCAACTAATGGGCAAAACAGCCAGCTAGCACCAAAATGGCAGTATCAAATTCACACATAACAATATTAAGCCTAAATGTAAATGGACTAAATGCCCCAATCAAAAGACACAGACTGGCAAATTGCATAAAAAGCCAAAACCCATCGGTGTGCTGTATCCAGGAAACCCGTCTCACATGCAAGGATACACAAAGGCTCAAAATAAAGGGATGGAGGAAGATTTACCAAGCAAATGGAGAGCCAAAAAAAAAAGCAAAAGTTGCAATTCTCATCTCTGATAAAATAGACTTTAAAGCAACAAAGATCAAAAGAGGCAAAGAAGGACATCACATAATGGTAAAAGGATCAATGCAACAAGAAGAGCTAACGTTAGATCCTAAATATATACACACCCAATACTGGAGCAACCAGATATATAAGGTAAGTTCTTAATGACTTACAAAGAGACTCAGACTCCCACACAATAATAGTGGGAGACTTTAACACCCCATTGTCAATATTAGATCAACCAGACAGAAAATTAACAAGGATATCCAGGACTTGAACTCAGACCTGGAACAAGCAAACCTAATAGACATTTACAGAACTCTCCACCCCAAATCCACAGAATATACATTCTTCTAAGCACATCACACCTACTCTAAAATTGACCACATAATTGGAAGTAAATCACTTCTCAGCAAATGCAAAAGAACGGAAATCATAACAGTCTCTCAGACCACAGTGCAATCGAGTTAGAACTCAGAATGCAGAAACTAACTCAGAACCGCACAGCTTCATGGAAACTGAACAACTAGCTCTTGAATGTTGACTGGATAAACAATGAAATGAAGGCAGAAATAAAGATGTTCTTCGAAACCAACGAGAATGAAGACACAACATACCAGAATCTCTGGGACACATTTAAAGCAGTCTCTAGAGGAAAATATATAGCAATAAGTGCCCACATGAGAAGCAAGTAGAGATCAAATATTGACACCCTATCACCAAAATTGAAAGAGCTAGAGGAGCAAGATAAAAAAAACTCAAAACCTAGCAGAAGACAAGAAATAACTAAGATCAGAGCAGAACTGAAGGAGATAGACACAAAAAACTCTTCAAAAAAAAAAAAAAAATCAATAAATCCAGGAGGTGGCTTTTTGAAAAGAACAAAATAGACCACTAGCCAGCCTAATAAAAAAGAAAAAAGAGAATAACCAAATAGATGCAATAAAAAACGATAAAGGGGATATCACCACAGATTCCACAGAAATTCAAACCATCATCAGAGATTATTACAAACAACTCTATGCACATAAACTAGTAAACCAGGAAGAAATTGATACGTTCCTGGACAGTTGCATCCTCCCAAGCCTAAACCAGGAAGAAGTCGAAACCCTGAATAGACCAATAACAAGGGCTGAAGTTGAGGCAGCAATTAAGAGCCTACCACCCAAAAAAAGCCCAGGTCCAGATGGGTTCACAGCTGAATTCTACCAGACATACAAAGAGGAGCTGGTACCATTCCTTCTGAAACTATTCCAAATAATTCAAAAAGAGGGAATCCTTCCCAAATCATTTTATGAGACCAACATCATCCTGACACCAAAACCCAGCAGAGACCCCACAAGAAAAGAAAACTTCAGGCCAATATCCATGATAAACACAGATGCAAAAATCTTCAATAAAATGCTGGCAAGCCAAGTGCAACAGCACATCAAAAAGCTTATCCACCATGATCAAGGCTGGTTCAACATATGCAAGTCTATAAACGTAATTCACCACATAAACAGAACCAAAGACAAAAACCACGATTATCTCAATTGATGCAGAGAAGGCCTTTGACAAAATTCAACAGCCCTTTATGCTAAAAACCCTCAATAAACTAGGTATTGACGGAACATTTCTCAAAATAATAAAAGCTATTTATGACAAACCAATAGCCAATATCATACTGAATGGGCAAAAACTGGAAGCATTCCCTTTGAAATCTGGCACTAGACAAGGATGCCCTCTCTCACCACTCCTATTCAATATAGTACTGGAAGTTCTAGCCAGAGCAATCAGGCAAGAAAGAGAAATAAAGAGTATTCAAATAGGAAAGGAGGAAGTCAAATTGTCTCTATTTGCAAACGACATGATTGTATATCTAGAAGACTCCACTGTCTCAGCCCAAAATCTCCTGAAACTGATAAGCAACTTCAGCAAAGTCTCAGGATACAAAATCAATGTGCAAATATCATAAGCATTCCTATACACCAATAACAGACTTAAAGAGAGCCAAATCAAGAATGAACTGCCATTCACAACTGCTACAAAGAGAATAAAATACCTAGGAATACAACTAACAAGGAATGTAAAGGACCTCTTCAAGGAGAACTACAAGCCACTGCTCAATGAAATAAGAGAGGACACAAACAGATGGAGAAACATTCCATGTTCATGGTTAGGAAGAATCAATATCGTGAAAATGGCCATACCGCCCAAAGTAATTTACAGATTGAACGCTATCCCCATCAAGCTACTAATGACCTTCTTCACAGAACTGGAAAAAAACACCTTAAACTTCATATGGAACCAAAAGAGAGCCTGCAGAGCCAAGTCAATTCTAAGTAAAAAGAACAAAGCGAGAGTCATCACACTACCAGACTTCAAACTATACTACAAGGCTACAGTAATCAAAACAGCATGGTACTGGTACCAAAACAGAGATATAGACCAATGGAACAGAACAGAGGTCTCGGAGGCAACACAACATATCTACAACCATCCGATCTTTAACAAAACTGACAAAAACAAGCAATGGGGAAAGGATGCCCTGTTTAATAAATAGTGTTGGGAAAACTGGCTAGCCATGTGTAGAAAGCAGAAACTGGATTCCTTCCTGACACCTTACACTAAAATTAACTCCAGATGGATTAAAGACTTAAAGACCTAACACCATCAAAACCCTAGATGGAAATCTAGGCAAAACCATTCAGGACACAGGTGTAGGCAAGGACTTCATGACCAAAACACCAAAAGCATTGGCAACAAAAGCCCAAATAGACATAGGGGACCTAATCAAACCCCACAGTTTCTGCAAAGCAAAAGAAACAGTCATTAGAGTGAATCGGCAACCAACAGAATGGGAAAAAATTTTTGCAGTCTACCCATCTGACAAAGGGCTGATATCCAGAATTTACAAAGAACTAAAACAGATTTACAAGAAAAAAACAAAGAAGCCCATTCAAAAGTGGGCAAAGGATATGAACAGACACTTTACAAAAGAAGACATACATGAGGCCAACAAACATATGAAAAAATGCTCATCATCACTGGTCATCAGAGAAATGCAAATCAAAACTACATTGAGATACCATCTCATGCCAGTTCAAATGGTGATCATTAAAAAATCTGGAGATGCTGGAGAGGATATGGAGAAATAGGAACACTTTTACACTGTTGGTGGGAGTGTAAATTAGTTCAACCATTGTGGAAGACAGTGTGGCAATTCCTTAAGGACCTAGAAATAGAAATTCCATTTGACCCAGCAATCCCATTAGTGGGTATATATCCAAAGGAGTATAAATCGTTCTACTATAAGGACAAATGCACATGAATGTTCACTGCAGCACTGTTTACAATAGCAAAGACCTGGAACCAACCCAAATGCCCATTGACGATAGACCGGACAGGGAAAATGTGGCACATATACACCATGGAATATTATGCAGCCATCAGAAATGATGAGTTTGTGTCCTCATCCAGGAACATGGATGAACCTGGAAACCATCATTCTCGGCAAACTGACACAAGAGCAGAAAATCAAATACCGCATGTTCTCACTGATAGGCAAGTGTTGAACAATGAGAACACATGGACACAGGGAGGGGACCACTACACACTGGGGTCTGTTGAGGGGAAATAGGGGAGGGACAGTGGGGGGGTGGGGAGTTGGGGGGAGAGATAGCATGGGGAGAAATGCCAGATATAGGTGAAGGGGAGAAGGCAGCAAATCACACTGCCACGTGTGTACCTATGCAACAATCTTGCATGTTCTTCACAAGTACCCCAAAACCTAAAATGCAATAAAAAAAAAAAAAAAAAAAACTTGCACATTCGATCACTTTCCTTACTTATACAATGAAAGAGGTGGTCTTCTTTGTTTTCCAGGTCTTGCCTCTATGCTCTGCTGGTATGCCTCAGGGCACTGTCCCAGACTGTCTTTTCCTCTCATCCTACACTTCTTATACAATCACATCATGTTCTGTGAATGATCAGTATAACAGAGTTTTAAAGTTTGGGTCACAGATCTCTCTCCAATCATAAAAACTATGAACCTTCCAGACAAATGTACAGACATGTAACATTTCATGAACCTCCTGAAGCCACCCAAGGGCCCCATATTAAAAACCTCCTAGCTCCATGCTGATGACTCCATGTATAGATTTAGAGCAAGCTGGAGTGCTCTCATGAGCCTCAGGCTCAGCCCACTGAACATTTCCCATAAGTTCCTCAAACTCAACATGCCCCCAAATTAGACCCATCTGCTTCCCCGCATACCAGGAGTATCCACCCTTATCATCATTACTTGCCTGCTGCTGAAGGCAGAAACCTGGGTATAATCAATGATTCTTCCCCCTTGACTGATTTCCAAACACTTACTAGGCCATTGATTCCACAATCTAAGCACCTCTCACACCTCTCTATTCTTAATTTATTGTTACCATCTTTGGTTTAGGGCACTATTATTTTCACGTATATCTCCCTAGCATTCTCTTAACTGGTCGACCTACCTCTAATCTTGATTTTTAAAAAATGATTCCCCATACAGCATCCAGAGTGATTTATCATGAAGTGTGGCTGTGGTACCCACTTGGTTAAAATTCAATAGCCCCCAACTCTTTTCAGGTTCAAGTACAAATTCATTTCCACTGTTTACATGCACCTTTGTGATCTTGCCTCTGCTTAACTCAAGTTTCATCAAGTACCAATTAACAGTTTTAAAGACCACCTCTCCCTCATACCATCCCTTGTAACATTTTACCTCAGCCTTTGACCATTTCAATTGAATTACTAGTTTCCCCAAATGAACCATGTCCTTAATGGTCCCTGCACTTTACACACATTATTCCTTCTGCCTGGGTATTTCTTGACCTCTCCTCCCAAACTCTTTGTAATTTAGACATAACTTCCACTGAAAAGCCTTCTCTAGTTACTCCAAGACCGTAGCCCATGACCATGTTCCAGGAATGCCCATATTTAGTCTTTTCAGAGCACTTAGAATACTATAATGTAACTGTTTACTTTTCTGTATCTCTTTCCCTAAACTAAGCTCCTTAGAGACAGAGACTACTACTTTTTATTTGTCTACACAGTTGTAGCACCTAGAACAATGTCTGGCATAACAGGCATTCAATGAAATATTGCCACAGAATAAATGAATGGATGGATAGATGGATGAATATGGACCATGTAGGACTTTGAGGAGTCTAATCAAAACAGCAAACAGGCTGGGTGTGGTAGCTCACACCTGTAATCCCTGCACTTTGGGAGGGCGAGGTGGGTGGATCATCTGGGGTCAGGAGTTTGAGACCAGCCTGGCCAACATGACAAAACCCTGTCTCTACTAAAAATATGAAAAGTAGCTGGGTGTGGTGGCGTGTGCCTGTAGCCCCAGGTACTCGAGAGGCTGAGGCAGGAGAACTGCTTGAACCTGGGAGGTAGCGGTTGCAGCGAGCCAAGATTGTACCATTGCACTCCAGCCTGGGCAACAGAGCAATACTCCTTCTCAAATGCAAACAAACAAATAAAACAACAAAACTCCAAACTGTATTTAAAATCTAAAATATAGATAGCTACTCCTTTAGAGGTAAGACTTATAATCTTTTTTTTTTTTTTTTTTTGAGACGGAGTTTCACTCATGTTACCCGGGCTGGAGTGCAATGGCACGATCTCGGCTCACCGCAATCTCCACCTCCTGGGTTCAGGCAATTCTCCTGCCTCAGCCTCCTGAGTAGCTGGGATTACAGGCACGCGCCACCATGCCCAGCTAATTAGTTGTCTGAGGCAGGAGAATTGCCTGAACCCAGGAGGTGGAGATTGCGGTGAGCCGAGATCGTGCCATTGCACTCCAGCCCGGGTAACAGGAGTTCTCTTGCCTCAGCCTCCTGAGTAGCTGGGATTACAGGTCCGTGCCACCATGCCCAGCTAATTTTTTGTATTTTTAGTAGAGACGGGGTTTCACCATGTTGACCAGGATGGTCTCAATCTCTTGACCTTGTGATCCACCCGCCTTGGCCTCCCAAAGTGCTGGGATTACAGGCTTGAGCCACCGCGCCCGGCCTAAGACTTATAATCTCTTAAATGCACATATTGGAAAAGGGGGAAACAAAAATAAACCTCAGAAACATATTTTCTATTTTATAGTCTCACACCAGTTAAGATAAAGTCAAAAGTTTACATCCAAAGAACTGATGGAAGGTGCTCAGCTATGAGCTGAGAAGGGAATCACCAGAAGATCATTATGGCTGCACGCTTTTCTGACTCCTGGCAGGAGGGTGCTAGGCTGCTTTCTGGGCTCTCACCAAGTCCTGGAGTTCTCTCAGTTGTTTTCCTGTCAGTCCCCCAATGCCCAGATCCTCCTCGTCCTCTTCTGGCTGGGCACTGACATTACCAGAAGATGGACCCTGTTTGATAAAGAATTCTTCATGCTGGTCCAAGAGGAGTCCATGGAGCATCCAGGCTGAGAGCTGTTTATACATGACCCCATGGCAAACGGCCAGGATTCTGAGCAGAGTGGAAAGTAAAAGGCTTAGAAATCTACTTAAAGAATACTAAACCCCACAAATGTCACAGAAGTCATGCTTTAAATTGTCAGAGGATAAACAGAGGCCTGGGAGTTTGATGAGTCATAAGGGAAATAACCAGTTAAGTTAAAAATAATTGTGCTATTTTAATTTAAATGTGGGTGAACTAACTCACTGAATTTCCATGTTTGCAGCCTACATAATGAAATATAAAATGTTCAGTACACGTGCTGATATTACTTTAGGGAAGACTTTTTTTTTCCTTCTTTTATGTAATTTTCAAAACTAATGAGCCCTAAATATGTACAACTGTTTCACGGCAATAAAAAATAAAAATAAAAAAATTTAAAAAGGGACTTAATGGAGTCTCTTTTTAGCTAACAGTATTAAATTTGTTTTATTTTTGTTGGAATCACATAGGGAGAGAAGGTTCAATATGTGAGTGCCAGGTATACTTGAAAAACTATTATCTAGCAAAATCCAGAAACTAAAACAAAATGCAGAATGTTTGTTGGGGAATAGGATATTCAGATGGTCTCAAAGGATCACCTACTAGATAGCATATTAATTAAAAAGGGGAAAATGGACCTCCACAATGGAGCAGCACGTGATGAAAACACCTAAGCCAAGTGATCCATCTTCACAACATCAGTAATGGGATAAACTTACTTTCTGTGTCTTCTAATATGATGCAATGGGAAATAATGTCACCTATGTAGTATTCTTTCCAAAAATGTTTAATCTGAATCTAATCATATGGAAATAAATAAAGATTGTGAAACATTATACAGGACAGAACTCTTAAAATGTCAGCCTCATCAAAAACAGCAAGAACAACAAAAGGCAAGGGGGATGGCTCTAAATTAAAGAAAACTAAAAAGACATGAGAACCAATGCAGTATGTGAACACTGATTGGATCCTGGATTGCAAAAAAAGAACAGCTACCAAAAAATTTTGGGGGACAAATAGAAAAATTTAGATACAGTATTATTGAATTAATGTTAACTTTCTCGAATGTGATATGGAATTGACATTACATAAGAGAATCCCTTTTTCTTTTTTCTTCCTTTTTTTTTTTGAGACAAGGTCTTACTCTGTCACCCAGGCTACAGTGCAGTACTACAATCATGGCTCACTCCAGTTTCAATCCCCTGGACTCACACTATCCATCCATCTCAGCCTCCTAAGTAGCTGGGACCACAGGTACATGTACCATGCCTAATTTTTTGGTATTTGTAGAGATGGGGTCTCACTATGTTGCTTTGGCTTGTCTCCTAGGCTGAAGCTACCCACCCACCTTGACTTCTCAAAGCACTAGGAATACAGATGTGTGCCACCATGCCCAGCCAAGAATGCCTTTTTTCTAAAGTCATACAAGTTGAAGTATTTAGGGGTTAAGTGTTAGAATATCTGTGACTAGTTTCAAATGATGTGGCAAAAAAAAATTGTGGTTTGTGTATTTCACATATACGTATAGAAGGAGAAAGAAAAAAGAAATCAAATGTGGCAAATGTTAACAAATGGTGAAACTAAAGGATATACTAGTGTTTGGTTGTTTTTTTTTTGTTTTTTTTTTTTTTTTTTTTTTTTTTTTTGAGACAGGGTCTCGTTCTGTCATCCAGGCTGGAGTACAGTGGCAAGATCTCAGCTCACTGCAGCATCAACCTCCTGGCCTAAAGCAATCCTTCTACCTCAGCTTCCCATAGCTGGGACTACAGGCAGGCACCACACCTGGCTAATTTATTTTTAGTATAGACAGAATCTTGCTGTGTTGCCCAGGCTGGACTTGAACTCCTGGGCTCAAGTGATCCCCCTGCCTCTGCCTCCCAAAGTGCTGGGATTATAAGTGTGAGCCACCAAGCCCGGACTACAAGTGTTTTATCACACAATTCTTTCAACTTTTTTGTAGGTTTAAAATTTTTCAAAATAAAAAGTTGGGGAGAAAAAGAAATTACAAGAGCTAGAGCTTGTTATTTGTAGTATGCCAATCTCTCTTTAAAAAGATCAAATGTGAAGCCATTTACGTTTATGCATTTCTGAGTATGTGGTCTGTAAAGTCTGATCCCTGCAAACACAGAACAAATATGTATATATAACATCATCTACATAAGATTTGATATTATATACCTAAAAGTATAATAGAGAATTAAGTCCCTAAGGCATGTTCTGAAAAGTTTCCCACTTTAATGAGACTTCATTCATGCAGTGGTAAGAGTGGAGATTAAGTGGCCTGGCCAGGTGCAGTGGCTCACACCTGCAATCCTAACACATTGGGAGGCCAAGGTGGGAGGATTGCTTGAACCCAGAAGTTCAAGACCAGCCTGGGCAACATAGCCAGACCTCATCTCTACAAAAAATTAAAATTAAAGAAAAGAAAGAAACAAAAAGAGTTGTGAGTGGCCTCATGGACTATCTATTATAAATTTTTCAATGAATGTCACTTTTTTAAAATAAGGAAAATGGAGAAATGGAAAGATCAAACATGCAGTCTTTGATCATAGTCTACATATATTTTTATACAGTTTAATCACAAGACAAATACAGTTTTGTATCAATTGTCAGTACATATTTATATAAAATATTTTACATGTTATAGTACCTACACTTTTAATGGCTTTATAGTCTAGCAAGTGAATATATCTTCATTTAAATTTTCTTATAGTGTTGGTTATTTTATAATTTTCTGATTAGTAGACAACAGTGCAATCAACATGTTTGCGCATATAGTTATTTTCTTCTATTAAATAATTTTGTTAGGATAAAATTTCTACAAGTGGCATCATGGGACTGTAAAGCATGAACATTTTTAAGGACCTTAGATTCGAAAATACCAGCTACTCAAATACACGTTTAGACATAGCAAGCAACATCTGGCACATGTAATGGAATTTCTGCAAGGATAACAGAGTCTAAACATTTAAAAAGATTGCCTCAAGGTCATCCAGGCAGCTAAATCCTGGCTTTCACACTCAACACTCTACAGCCCTTATTGCAATGCCTGAGCCATCATAAGAGTTACATAGGCTCCTCTGCTCATGGGGCTTTTTCTTTCCTGGTCATAACCTTCCCAAGAGGGAAACCTAAAATGACCTGAAAATAAAACAAGTGAGAAGTCAAATAATTTGACCACCCACCTCCACCACCAATTCCCAGTTAAGCCATGACTTACTTTTCCAGAGCACTTCGAACAGGAGGCAACCCCCCACAGCTGTGTTTGTAGACTGTTTCCAGGATTTGACAACCATGAATCTGTGGAATATACAGCCTTGTCAGACTGGATTCCTTTCTAATAGTCCATGCAAGACAAATCCATATTCCATATTCAACCAAGAGGGCCCAATCTAGAAGAGATTGGGGATAAACTTTCTCCTAAGATTTACACATAGTGGTTCTCAAAGAGGGACCTCTCCCATCAGTAGCAGTATCACCTGGGGACTTATTAGCTATGCAAACTCTTGGTTAGAGCCCAGCACTCAAGTGTTTCCACAAGCCCTCCAGGTGATTGTAATGCACAGTAAAGTGTGAGAACCAGCACTCTTAAAGAAGCCAGAATCATTTAAGAGTTGTAACACCAAAGCCAAGGAAAGCTCTTTAATTCAAGGTAAGGCCCAATGCAGCTACTACTAAGGTATATACTTTTTCAAAAATCTTCTGCCTCTATGTTCTTCAGGCTTTTATTTTTACCACTTTGAGGTATAATTTACCACAAAATTCACCTGTTTTAAGCATACTAATCAATAATTTTTTGTAAATTTCAAACACTGTGCAACCATTACCACAACCCAGTTTTATAACATTCCCATTACTCCACAATGCCCCTTTGTACCTGTTTGCAATCAATCTCCATTCTTACCCTCAGCCTAGACTCTTGACCGCTCAATTTTTAAAAACTCTGTAGAGCCTTGGTATACTAGTTTCTCTACCACCATCCTGGCAGGAAGATTCATCCATCTGCAATCCCCCTATTTTCCACTCTCCTTCCTGTAGCCAGTGGAAGCTGAAGGCCAACTGAGACATGCGGCTAGGCCTGGCTCCCTTATGCTGTCCTTGCTAACTCTACTTGCCTAGAAGATCCTCTTTTATTTTGGGAGATAGTTTAATCTAGTGGTTAACATGGTTAACAGCACACTCTTTGGAGCCAGATAGAGCTGGGATATAAACCCATTTACTACTATCTGTTTGACTCTGAGCACACCCCTTAACCTACTTAGCCCTTTAGAGGATTGCGTGTGATAATGTATTTGAAGCACAGTGTCTAGTACACAGTAAGTACATAGTAAAAGCCGAATGTTGTTATTTGATCAGGGCAATCAGCTTTGAAGGGCCAATGAGCACCCACTACTGGCCTTACTGGCACAGCATAAATGTAGCAGAGCACTTGTTTCTACACTTAAACAGTAAAAAATGATACAGAAATATGGCAGATTAATATAACTAGTAAACCAGTTAATCAAAATGAACACCCCTAATAAGCTAGGCACAAATAAGGAGCTTAAAAAATGAAGACTTGAGCTAAAGATGTTTAATCCATTTGTCCACTTGGGTCCAACTGTGGACCAATTCACTAGGACAGCTGATTCGTCTTCTAATATGAAATCTCAAAGCAATTATTCCTCAGAATTAACTCTGCCCAGAAAGACATTCTCCTGACATTGGAGGCCCTAACTTCTCAATACACCAGATAAAACCTTGTGATAAGAATAGACATATTTAATAAACATCTGGCTTTCACTCACTGATTTCATAATTCTCAGAAAACTGCCAGCACACCAACCATATTACCTTCTTACTAAGAATTACCTTGCTGCCTCTCATCAAGATCCACACCCAACAGTTCCAAACCCTTACTGCAGGTTCCTCTCACCTGCAAACATCCACAGCACTTTTTTTCTTACCCCAACAACATTCTTGGGTACAACTATTTCCTCTACCTTCTGGACCAGGAGGTGTTTAAGGTCAGTGTCATATTTTTGCATTCCTGACACTTACCATGATACACAAGCAGTTATTGTTAAACGAGTACATGAATAAAAACTACTAAAAACTAGGGTCTTCGAAAAAGAATGTAAGGCAAAATTAATTAGTAATATTCCCTCAGTGCTTAGCAGAGCAAAAGGAATAAGGAAAGTTCTCACCTTTTGACTTTTAATTTGTTCTACTACAACCATCACAGAGGGAAAAAGAAGCTGGAACTGCAAAGTAGAGAAAGGGGATGTAATCAAATGTAAGAGGGAAAACATCAACTCGGGAAATACTTTTGTTTCTAAATAGTTGAACTTAAGAGAAAATGGCAATACCACACAACAGTCAAGATCCAGTATCCTATGGCAATTTGATGTCGAAGTTCGCTGCAGATAGGAAGAGGATGGGAGAGAAAAGCAGTTTCTTTTCTTTTTTTTTGTTTTTGTTTTGAGACACAGTCTCACTGTCACCCAGACTGGAGTATAGTGGTGGGATCCCAGCTCACTGCAACCTCCACCCCCAGGTTCAGGCGATTCTCATGCCTCAGCCTCCTGAGTAGCTGAGATTACAGGCACATGCCACCACACCCAGCTATGTTTAGTAGAGATGGGGTTTCGCCATGTTGGCCAGACTGGTCTCAAACTCCTGACCTCAAGTGATCCAACTGCCTCAGCTTCCCAAAGTGCTGGGATTACAGGTGGGCATTGCCATGCCCAGCCGGGTAGCAGTTTCTATTTCTGAGGCTGGGATGCTTGTTAATACTGATGTCAACATAGAGGATTAACATTAGCATATAATATTAACATTAGCATATAATATCAGACATTAAGTTTTAACTACATTTGGAAACAGTTTTGATCTAGTAAAGCACATAAAACGCACAAAATATAAAATGTTGGGCTCTGAATCCAAAAGAAAAGAAGTTCTCAAAAACAGTGTCATAAATTAGATTATTCTGACACTATCAACAGATTCCAAGGCATTTGGTTATTTGGGCAGCATACCTGGTCTAGGGAGTAGTTGACATGTGATATGGAGAGATGGGGATCACCCAGGAACTGCAATAAAAAAACGCTGTGATTAGGGCTCCACACAAAGTATTTCAAATCTATTTGATCTACGAAAATGAGAAGAGAATCTGATAATGGGCTAAGTGTTAGTTTTAGGCTATCAAGAATTGATAATTTAATCATGTTATTAATCCTGATTTTCAGGCCATAAAGAAACCAAGCCAGGGCTCTTATAAACTCACTAAAGAGTCTGTCATGATCTGTGAGCCACTCCGATCACAGGTTGGGCAATCAGAGAAAGATCACTGTAGCCTCCAGCCATGCAAGAAAATGTTTACTCTTAACTATCTGACCTTACCAAAGGGCATTTCAGATTCAAGAACATGCTCGCTCTATTGTCCCAAAAGTGTTTCCTGTATCTCCTCCTTCTTACCTCTTGTTCCAAATCAAGTAGTGCTTGGCGGTAAGGCTGCAAAACAGAATCCAGTCCCGTGCAGAAGGCCCTCAGGTAGATTCCATGTAACCCACCTTGGCCCTGCTGAGATGGATGGTGATCCTGAAATCAAACAAACAGAAGCCAACTTGTCAGCTCAAGCCATGAAACCTGAGAAAGACATTATGAGGCTTGTTTCTTTTAAGAGTTATACAAACAAACCAACTACAGATCTTGCCTTCACTTGAAAATTTCCAGTAATGAGAAATCCATAACTTATTTCACACGAATTACTGATAAATTGACGGAAAGCTTGATATAGCTCCTGCCCTCTATAAGTGTACACTCTCTAAGAACAGGACCCACCTGTTGTTGCACATGGCCGGTGTACTGTTCAATGAACTCAGTGAAGCGAATATAGTCTGTGCCGAGCCGGCAAAGTCGATTCAGGACACTGGTCTCACTTGGGTGAAGGAAAGGGAAGTCTTGTGAAACCTGCAGAAAGAGGAACGCTGCCGAAAACACTGATGCCTGCCAGTCACTGCTCCAACTTCCAGGTGCTTCAAATGCTTGATACTATGCATTTATCTTTTTCTTTCTCAAGATGTCCACTTAAAGATGTTAAGTTCTGGATAACAATGTATTTCCAAACCACTTCAACAGGGTTCCCTATCCCTGACCCAATTATTTGCTTCTTAAAATAGGTAACACATGCTAAATAATTTAAACAATACAAAATGGTTGGCCGGGCGTGGTGGCTCAAGCCTGTAATCCCAGCACTTTGGGAGGCCGGGGCGGGTGGATCACGAGGTCAAGAGATCGAGACCAACCTGGTCAACATGGTGAAACCCCGTCTCTACTAAAAATACAAAAAATTAGCTGGGCATGGTGGCACGTGCCTGTAATCCCAGCTACTCAGGAGGCTGAGGCAGGAGAATTGCCTGAACCCAGGAGGCGGAGGTTGCGGTGAGCCGAGATCACGCCATTGCACTCCAGCCTGGGTAACATGAGTGAAACTCCGTCTCAAAAAAAAGAAAAAGAAAAAAAAAAAAAAAAGGTGTACATTAAAAATAAGTCAACCTCCCAGAACCAGCCACTGTTACCTGCTTCTTATGCAATCTTCCAGTGATGGTCTATAAGGCTATGGCGGTTTTAACCTGGTTGCAACAAAGTCTCTTCAGCAATATTGCTTAAATGGGTCTGCAGGTTCCATGGGTTTATCTGACATATTCTTAGGATTTACAAATTCTCTATAAAAGTTTTAATTGTTTTCATTCCATTAAAAGTCTAAAATTAAGCATATTATTATCTGTAAAAGTACCTTATGTAAGGTTTATTGCCGAGTTTAAACTGAGGAAACTAAGGCCAGTATAAGAAAACGAAAATCCAATTTATTCAGCTCCCGGGCGAGTTTCCATGGTCCCGGGGAAAGGGGCCAGGGAAGCCGCGCCAACTTCCTGGGGCGTGGGGCTTTTATGGCTAGGAGGAATGAGCAACAGCTGGGTGCTCTGATTGACTCCAGGGGAGCGGGATTGAGACGGGGCGGGCCGCTATTGGTTGGCAGGTTGTTGGGCGGGTTTTCCGGTGGGAGAGCCAGCCAGGAGCCTTGCATCGGCTGGAGCCTTCCAGGGGAGCCATGCGGCAGAGCTAGGTGCCGGGTGCAGAGCCTGGTGCTGGGTGCAGAGGTGGGTGTGTCCAACCTCCCTGCGAGGCAACCAGCCTTACACCTTATAACTGGCCATATAAATTTAGAGTGTATATTTGCATTTGTATTTTTAATTTAAATGAAAGCCAAATATGCCATATATAAAGGTTTCACAGCAGTTTAGGTAGAAAAAAGTATTGGGAAAATATATTCATTCAACCAACTTTTAAAAAGTGATAAAACATATGTAAAAAAATCTATAATTTTAACTATTTTAAGTATATAGTTCAGTGGTGTAAAATACATCCACACTATTGTGCAACCATCACCACCATCCATCTCCAGAACTTTCTTGTTTGCCCCAACTGAAACTTCGTATCCAGCTCCTGCCAAACACCACATTACTGCCCCTGATTTTTGTTAGGGGCAGCTGACGCCCCACTCTGATTGCTCTGCAGCTGCATTCCTATCTAGGCACCACAGCAAGGCCACCAGACACACTACAATTGAGCAAAGCCTGATTATAGCCATCTGGGCAGCACAGGGGAGGTCACAGAAAACAAATCTTTCTTTAAATTCTAATTTATGCATACCAGTAAAATCCTGTTTCTTTAAAACTGCCACAAGTCACAGGATGATGTATTGTAAGTCTGTCACAAGCTGACAAACTATCTTTGTGCTTGTTACAAGCTGATAGATTATCTCAATCCTGAAACTCCCTTATGCCCCTCTCACCCCATATGAACCCCAAAAAAGCCTTGTTTTGTAGGCTTAGGGCTGCCTCCTCTAATTGTCATGGAGCAGCCCAGCAGATTAATAAAACTTGCTTGCTTGACATTGGGTCTACTCTCCTTTCTCGTGACTAACCTTACATTTGGGTTCCGAATTCTACATTTTTGGTGCCAAAATCTGGGAAGGGGTAGGCTTTGGCGCACTCTCGCACTCGTGCTGGCTCGCTCTCTTGTCTCCCTCTGCTTCTATCCCTCCCTTCCTCCCTCTCCTATCACCCCACTCCTGGCTACCCTCCCCTTCCGGAACCTGCAGGAGACCCGGAGGATCTCCCAGACTCTCCCATTGCTGGCAACCCCATCTGCCATCAGAGCCTCCACTGAGGTAAGTAAGAGAGACTCCTGCAGATAACCCAGAACCCTTGACCGTCTCTGCCTTCCCCAAATGCAGTGCTGGGGTCAAGGGCTTCCTCTGGCCTCCAGGCCTCTGGTTCCTCTGTTTCAGGGATTCCTGACTTGGCAGCTACCTCTTCTATTCCACACAAGGCCTCAAGGTTAGAGGAAACCCTCTCCCGCTGTCTTTGTCATCAGTAGTCTCTTCTTCCTCTATCTCCCTCCCCCATTTCCTATGGAAGCCTCTCAGTCCACCCCTCCCAAAACTACCCGCCTTGGGTGTCTGCTGCATAATCTCAATGCTCTCAGCCTCTGTTCAGAGGTCCATCCTAAAAGGCTTATCTTTTACTGCAATATCACTTGGCCTCAATACAGATTAGACAATGGCTCCCAATGGCCCGAATATGGCACTTTTAATTTCAATATACTTACAGACCTAGACAACTTTTGCCATGGCAATGGGAAATAGTCTGAGATTCCTTATGTTCAGGCTTTCTTCACTCTCTGTAGCAGTCCTTCCCTCTGCCAGTCCTGTACTACTTTCCAAATCCTCACATGTTCCAAACCCAACTTGCCCCTGTCACCCTCCCCACAGCCGTGGCCAACAACTCATCTCCTGCCACTCTCCCCACAGCCCCAGCTGATGACTCCTCTTCCTTGGGTCTGCTGATTTTCCTCCTCCTAGATTGCATCATAATCCCCCAACAAAGCATCACGATCCTCCACCGTATGCTCCCGCTATGGCCCTACCCCTCTCTCCTTCTCTCTCCAACCACCCCGCTTCTGACTCTGAGTCCTCCCTGTCCCCACCCCTTACCCGCTCTTGAGCCCAACATGCCCATCAACCAGCTCCCTTGCTTCCCCTCTGGGAGGTATCAAGGGCTGAAGGGATTGTCTGTGTCCACATCCCCTTCTCCCTGTCCAATCTCTCCAAAATTGAAAAACATCTCGGGTCCTTCTCCTCCAATCCCAATACCTATATCAAAAAATTTAAATAGCTAACAGAGTCTTATGAACTCACTTGGCATGATCTCTATATTATCCTCTCTTCTACCCTCCTTCTAGAAGAGAGGGAAAGAGTGTGGCTCACAGCCCAGGCACATACCGACCATCTTCATCAGCAAGATCCTACTAAGCCTGTAGGAGACGCTGTTGTCCCCCAGGAAGAGCCTTCCTGGGAGTGCCAACCCACGGACCCCGGCCGGGTGTCACATAACCACATAATTACTTGCCTTATTGTAGGCCTTAACAAATCTGCCCATAAGGCAGTGAATTTTTAAAAACTCAAAGAAATTTCCCAAAAAGCAGATGAAAATCCTCCCTAATTCCTTTACCGCCTTATAAAGGCTCTCCAAAAAATATACTCGCATTGACCTGCCTTCCAAGAAGGAACTATTGTTCTTAATACCCATTTTATCTCCCAGTCTGCCCCCAATATCGGGCACAAACTTAAAAAGGCTTAAGATGGCCCTCAAAACTCCACAAGACCTCTTTAACCTGGATTTCAAAGTCTTCAATAACAGGGATGAGCTAACTAAATTACATAAAGCCCAAAGAGATCATGTTAAATACCGGCTTCTAGCTGCTGCTATCCATCAGCCTAGCCATAGTACCCAGGCCTTGTTTTAAATGAGGCAAAGAAAGCCACTGGGTGTGGGCATGTCCTAACCCCTGAGTGCCAAAAAGCTCTTGCCCAGTCTGCACCTCAGAGTCACCACCCCTTCAATAAGACAAATGGTGAAGAATCACTTGCACTCCCACGGCTCCTTGGCCTAGCTGCTGAAGACTGACGAGGCCCAGGGCCCCCGGCCCCATCTGCCATCACTGCATCAAAGCCCAGGGATAACTCTACTAGTAGCAGGTAAGCCAATCTCTTTTTTAATCAATACGGTGGCCACCTACTCGGCTTTGCCTGAATTCTCAGGATCCACTCATCCCCCTCAGGTCTTAGCTGTGGGAGTTGACTGACTCATCTCGTGCCCATGCACCACTAGACCTTTTACTTGTTTCCTATTTGATACTGTTTTCTCACACTCTTTATCATGCCTCGTTATCCTACCTGCATCCTAGGCAGAGACCTCCTAACCAAATTCAAAGCTTCCATCACCTTCTTCTGTTCCCTACAACCGGATTTTCTCCTACTCTTCTCCACTACCATGCCAGTCTTCTACCCCTCCAGCCCTCCACCCCTCCCCCCAATATCCACTCCCCTCTTCTCGTTAATCCAATAGTGTAGGATACCATTACCTCCTCTCTAGCAGTTCACCATGATTCCATCAAAGTCCAGCTAAAAGACTCCTCCAAATTTCCTGTCTCTCAGCATCCCATTTCATTAACCTATCTAAAAGGCTTATGGCCTTTTAGGTCATAAACAGACTCCTCTCACAAGGCCACCTTAGGCCAACTCATTCTCCATATCTCTGGGCTATCAATCAGGTGGTCCCTCCCATTAATCTGGTAGTTCCCAACCACTATAAGCTCCTTTCCCTCATCCCTCCAGACACAACCCATTACAATGTAATAGACCTAAAAGATGCCTTTTTAAGCCATTCCTCTTCACCCAAACTCCCAAAATCTCTCTGCTTTCACATGGACTCACCTTGAAAACCTCCAGTCACGACAACTTACTTGGACAGTCCTCTCCCAAGGCTTTAGAGATAGCCCCCATTTCTTTGGACAGGCTCTAGCTCAAGACTTCGCCTCCCTAGACCTCTCCCCTAGCCAGCTCC